CCCACGAACTTCAGAAATTGCCCATGAGATAATTTCTGAAGGTATGGCCCTTGATGAACAATTTCAAATTGTTGCTTCTGTAACTCATGGATTCCCAGTTTTTGGAATCTTCAAAGAATTGGGGGTTCTTTTTCCTTTCCCGCTCGGTCCTCCAGGTGTCCTCCTCCCATTTGCCCCCAAACTCCTTAAAGGATGGGGCTTGCTCACCCACCTCTCGGTCAGTCCTCCTTCTCAGGTGTCTTGGCGAGAGAGATGAGTGACCATGGGGAGTTTGTGGAAGGTTGCCTACTTGGGCCTTTGTGAATTCCATGACGACCGCAACAGCTCGTGCCACTTTCTCCGTATAGTAGAGGGTCCGACTGAGGAGTTATTCTCGGTTGAGACCAAAAATGTAAGCTTTGTGTAGGGGAACTTTTTGCATTCGACCGACTCGACTGAGACGAGCTTGTCAGCTGACGAGTATGGTTGGATGGGGACTTCTGCGAGGCCACCCCTTCCGGGGAAGAAGGAGCTTTCGAAGAAGAGGATGAATTTTCTGGCGACGGTGAAGTCGTGGACTCATTCTCAATGTAGCTAAATCATTCCTCAAAGAGGAAGTATTGTTTTTCTTTGTGCTCTTGGCACTTTTACCGCTCTTATTCATTTTTCACTAAGATTAGATGATTTTTGGCTTATTTTGATGTATTTTCCCCACCGATGGCGCCAAATTGTTTCGATATGAAAACAATAGGACCTTCGGCAGGCCCTTTTTGGTGGGAGAAGACAGTCAGGTAGAGACTAGCCGAGGATTTCCTGCACAGCAAACACACGTAAACTAGCCTCGGGGTGGTTGCCGAGTAAGGCCCCTCCGATGCTAAAGTCAGTTTAGTGTATTGAGAGTAAATGTTATGCAAGAAAATTAATTGTTTGAGGCTGATTGTGAATGAATGTAAGAGGAGACAATTGATAGCTTTTATACCTTTGCTCAATAGAGGAGAATTGGGCCTTTGAAATCAAATGGGTTTGCCATGCTGACTGGGCTTGGCTGACTTAGCATGCTTTTGGAGAGTTGAACCTTACTTTTGGGCTTTTGTAATTAAATCATTTGGACCGGCCCAATTAATGATGACTGAATTGGACCCAAACATAAAAAATAATGTGATCACACCGTGTGCCCCACACACAAGACATGTCCGTTGTTTGCCGTAATATTGAATAATTCCTCTGTTCCCTAAATAATTGTCCTATTATATCTTAACTTGAAATTAATCCTTGTAATTCACTTCATTCCACTCATATCGTGTACTTTAGATCTTACTACTAAGAGTTTAAGAACATCCTTACTTACTCATGAATGTATATATTTTAATTGTTCATCATGCTAACCAGATGAACAAGTATGCATTCTATTCCGTATCAATGAACAAAATGAATGGTTCATACTGTTTAGGTGCCTTGATTTCTTTACCTTTCTAAAAAAAGATCGATTCTTTTATAGTAGCTTAGATGTGTTCCTTGTGGAAATTGCTAATTAAGTTTTATTCCTTTTAATTGTTGTAAAAATAAATAAAAAGAAAATTCTAAAAATTAAACCCCTCTCCAGTCTCCACCCCACCTCATATAATAAATTTATATGGAGTATCACATAAGACAGTTTTTCAAATGGCTACAATAAAATTGTGGCCATTGTAACCGAGTGAATCACAATCTTCCGATAATAAAAATCAACTTTTTTAATACCAGAAATTTGATCGAATGATAAAATTTCTAATTTATCTTATTTGATGTTTTCAATTTTTTTCATCTATAATGTCAATTGATGGTTTCTTGAAATTTAGATAAATTTCGCAATTTTTTTCTTTTTATCATCTTCTTCTTTTTTTCCTCCCTTTTTCTGGTTTTCTTTAATAATGGAGGATGATTCATTTTTTGATAAATTTGATGCAAAAATTATGGGCCTTGTAATATATATTGCGGTAAATAATTTATTGTTGATAGACTATAATCAAATATTGATTTTTAATGGAGATGGGAGAATCATTTGAACTTAGAAATTGCAAGAGTATGCATAATGGCAAAGTTCAGAATTTTTGCTGGAGAAACTGTAAAACAATTATTTTTTTACTCGTAATTAAGAAAACTGTTTTTTTTTTTATTTCTTATTAAAAATTAAAATCAATTAGATAAATGGACAAGATTGAACATTAAAAATATAAGGCCAAGATTAAAACTAATTACAATAACTACAATTTTATTGTAGCCATTGAATATATAGTCTTCCATTACTACATTATAAATTTATAATACAGAGAACTAGATTTTGTCCTAAATTCTTAATTGATTGAAATGTCATTAATTTCATATTAATGTTTACTTGGTAAATATTGTATGAAAATTCATACAAAAAAAAAATTATTACAGAAAAATACTCTTAGTAGTAAGATCTACATCTATGATATGGATGGAATGATGTAGATCTTACTACTAAACAATTGCTTAGGGTCAGTTCAGTTCAGCTTAATTTCAGTTTAGTTCAGATGTTTTCAGTAAATTAGAACAGACCCTTAGATGATTTATGTAAAAAATACTCTTGTTTGTTTTAATAAGTTATATTTATTGTATACTTCCAATATATATGGCTAGCCATTATTTAAAATCATAGATTAGATACCTTCAATTTGAAAATTCTAATGTAGTCTGATGAATTTTGACTATCATAATGTTTTTAAAATGGACGGTTCAGATTGATTGTTTTTTTTTATTTATTTTTAATTAGTAATTTTACTTCTATTGGAAAAGGTAATTTCCCATGGAAATATCCGTCGGAAAGTACATATATTCCGACGGATTTATATTTTGTCGAAAATATCCGACGAAATGAAAATCCGTCGGAAATTTCGATTTTTCCATAGAATAATGTGTCCGTCGGAACCAGACTGTCGGGATTTACTTGTTTTCTAGTAGTGTAATTTTGCTTGTAATAGGTTTTTGCCCTGTTTTAATAAAGAGTCTTTATTAAAAACCCCTTATGTTCATGGTTTTTCATCTTGTTTAGGGCCAAGAAGTTTTCCTGCTAAATCTCTCTTTGCATTCTTGAGTTCCTTAGGCTTAGTTATTTTATTTCCGCAAAAAGTTTATTATTTGCCACTGTCATCATTAAAAGTTTGCTAGCCATATGCATTTTCTTTTTCTTTTTTTTTTAAACCACTTGACAGTTCTCGAATCCTTAGAACATTGGAAACAGTAGATGCTCTCTAAGTTCATAAAAGTCTGTTAAAAACATTGGAAACAGTAGAAGTCTTTTTACTACTAAACAATTGCTTAGGGCCTGTTCAGTTCAGTTTACTTACTAATTTTTTTTTCTCATAAACAATTCATTTCAACTCTATTCCGTTCAGTTGTTTTCCGTAAATCGGAACAGACCCTTAGATGATTTATGTAAAAAATACTCTTGTTTGTTTTAATAAGTTATATTTATTGTATACTTCCAATATATATAGCTAGCCATTATTTAAAATCATGGATTAGATACCTTCAATTTGAAAATTCTAATGTCGTCTTATGACTTTTGACTATCACAATTTTTATTAAATGGAGATTGAGATTATTTGTTTTTTTATTTATTTTTAATTAGTAATTTTACTTCTGTCAGGAAAGGTAAGTCCGATGGAAAAATCCGTCAAATGAATTCAGTCATTAGATGCTCTCTAAGTTCTCGGATCCTTAGAACATTGGAAACAGTAGATGCTCTCTAAGTTCATAAAAGTCTGTTAAAAACATTGGAAACAGTAGAAGCTCTCTAAGTTCATAAAAGTCTGTTAAATTCAGTCAAATGAATGGAACACTTCCTGCATATCTTCGAGAATACTAAGAGTTAATAAGAGGGGATGTACCCCATTAATGTTGTTAAGGCCTGCTCTTTCACTTCCCAAAGATAATGCACTTAACATGGTACATATCTATAACTCCTAATCAACTATAAGTAGTACCAGAATTCTCACCTCAAATTCTCATCATCTCTAACTCTCGTTCATCTTAACTATAGATGATATAAGAATTCACCTCTCAATGGAAAGCGTACGCGAATGTGCAAAAAATCTGTGGGAGATGATCTCCAAATGCGTACAATACATTGCTAAAGATGTACGCACAGGTACAGAGTATCTGTGGGAGATGATCCGCAATTGTGCTGAAAAGCTATGTGAGCTTATCTGCAAATGCGTACAATACAGTGTTAAAGCCGTACGCACAGGTACAGAGTATCTGTGGGAGATGATCAGTAATTGTGCTGAAAAGCTATGTGAGCTTATCTGCAAATGTGCAACAGAAAGTGTTCAAGCTTTATTAGCATTAAGCCAGAAAATACAGAAGCGTTACCAGGGGTTCGGGAAAGAAAATGAGCACGTAGCGGTTCTAATCAAGAATCTGATATATCTCTGTATGCAAATTAAGAAGCTGGTAATCCTATGGAAGGCACCAACTAAAGCCATTGCTGATATAGTTAAGGTTATCTTTGATATCATATGTACAATTATCAGGTTTTTTAAGCCTGGGGATTACTGGTAACGAGAGTTGTACAAGCTGATATCCTGCTATGTTACTCCTATGAAGTTTGTTTTCGTGCTGAGAGATGTTACAGTGTAAAATCTCAATGTTAAATAAAATTTCAGTTTGTTTGTTGGTTTCACAATGTAGTCTTTTTGCTTAATTGTCTATAACCAAGAACAATAACATATCATTACTCAGATAATTTCTGTTTGAGATATAGCTGCTAACTGCTAAAATTACTGGCATTTTGTTCAGTAAATGACTCGAGTGATTAGCTATTTTTTAGGTGAATTAGATTGATGTTGGTTAGTTGGAGTTCTTTTAGGAATAAGTGATTTAGTGGCTGATCAACTTATAAGAAAGCAAGGAAATTTATGCTCGTATATTCACTCAATGAAATTAATGTACCTTGTACAAATCACTATCCGTACCAATCTATCAATGTCTACTGTAAGTGTAACGACAGTAGGAGATCAAGAGAAGAGCAAAGCCGGACCAGAATGATTAATTAATCAACTTCAACAAAAGAAGTGCAGTCAATATCTTGTAGAGTTATCTTACCCAAGTATAGATCACTAACATGATAAGCACATAGAGCAAAACACCTCCTGTCCAAACTGTCATGGATAGCAGCCATTCCTGGAACCCATTTCTTTTGGTCCCCTGGATTAATGTTTGTGCGATTTTGCAGTAGCAAAACTCGGTAAGTAATTGTATCATTACATTCACAAAAATGAGCAGCACACGTAATAGATGGCGCATCATATGCTAATCTGATGAGATTCAAGGTTAGAGCACTATCAACAGGTTTTGGATCTGAAAGATGACCATCTCCTGTTCTTTTTACATCCCTTTCAGAGGGAAAGTACATTTCCTCATTTCCATCCAAATCTGAAACTTTCAAATCCTTCGAAAAATGCCTAACGGTTTCAGCTTTTGTAGCATCGTGTTTTTCTGCTAGTGTCAAGAGACAGGAGAATCTCAAATGATAGGATACAACTGTTTTCACCATTTCAAAGTTACGACAGCAGCAAAAGTACTCGAGCCATCTTCTTCCTACCCCTGCATACCACTTTATGATATCAGCATCTTCAAGGGCAGCCAGCAAGCTGATCGGCCTAGGACGACCCATATCATTGGTAAATCCTGCAAGCCTGACTGCCTTTCTAACCAGCTCAATGGGTGCCGTGATTTTCATGCAGAGTTTTGTCAAATCCTTGACTGTCCTCTCACTGTATTTCCTCTCCTCTTCCTCTTCCTCTTTCCTTTTTTCTTCCTCTAATGCCTTCCTAGCCTTCACAGGATTCAAATGCTTGTCAACTTCCTTTTGAAACTTATCATAGGCATCAACAAGCTCTTGTGGCAGCTGATCTCTAATTCTTTTTAACGAAAGAAAATCACCAGCAGTAAGCTCTCGATGCCAACTCCATCTCTCTTCCACTGACTCCAAGAATTCCTGCACTACTTCATCCGCCCAAGAGCTAAAAATTTCTCTTACTTCATTCTCAATCTGGTAATCAAACTTAAACCTGTTATTACTATTCTTCAACTTATCAAATACATGGCTAAATATCTTCATCCCCAACATTCTCCTATTCCTTTCCCTTGCATTTTTCATCTCCATCAACCTAACTTCCTTCTGCCTACGAAACTTCAACCGTGCCCTCTTGGCCTTCTCAGAGAGAGGAGGCCGAAGGACAGAAGGTGTAACAGCCCGAAACTCCATCCCCAAAAAATCAATTTTCTCTGAAACAGCACTATGAATAACAGTCCTCAATTTATCCACCTTCAACTCCAACTCCCCTTCCAAATGCTTAACAACCCAATTCAACAAATCCATAGCCACCACCTTCGACCCGGAAGTGATCAACAACACCTCATCCAAATACCTAACAGCATACACCTTCAAAGGCTTATACACAACACCATCACTCACCTCATCATCAAACTTAGGGTTCTGCTCATTCATCCGAAGCCGAATCTTCTGAACCTTCTTATCAAAACCATTCAAGTAAACATTAATCAAAACCCCACACAACCCACATTCTTGAGGCAATCCTTTCCCTAATTCAAACCCACCCAATTCAATTTTCGCCGCCTCGGTCTCAAACAACTTCTCAATCAATCCAATCAATCTCACATCATCAATTCTATCCCCTAACACAGAACACAACCTATTAACATGCCTAGAATCAAAAACAACTCTATCAAATGCAACAGTAAACCACCAATTAGGGTTTTCAACCGAGTTTTTCATGTATCGAATCGCGGTATGCCGGCCTAAACCCTCTCTACCCCCATAAACAAAGGTGGGAAACCCACCATCATAGATTAAATCAAGCACCATTCTCAAAGCTTCAATCACAACTTTAAGCTTTAAATTGGGCAAAACAAGAGATTTACCTTTACTTTGAGAAGAACCCAATTTGAAACAGCAAGATCCCACATCAAATTCATTGCTAGAAAGTTCTCGAGCGAGTTGATAGAGGTCGAACCGAGTCGAAACCGAGTCAAGAGTGAGTTGAAATGAGCGAGTTGGGTGAGTGAGATTATGGGAAGCTGTGAAGAGAACAGAGGGTAAAGCGACGATGTTTTGGAGGAGATTGGAGAATTTGCCATTGTTGTAGTGAGAGAAGAGCAGGGTTTTGAGTTGGGGTTTAGTGAGAGGTTTAAGGGTTTGGTCAAGGTCAAAGGAGAGAGAGTGAGAGAGGGTTGAATGGAGGAGAGAGAAAGTGAAATTGAAAGTGGGTGTTTTGATTGATGGGTTTATTGCTCTTAATCTTCTGGTTAATGCAAAGAGCATTGAAGCTTGAAGGATTTTACTAGAGTGACAAACAGAGGAAGAAGAAGAAGTGAAGGGGAAGAAGGAGACGAATTGATGTTTGGATTTTGAGGAATTTGAGTTTCGGAATGGTCCATTAACTCAATTGTGTGGCTAAGTCCATCTAATTGTGGGCTAGTAAACAGTGGGAAAAAATTTGACCGTATCCAGTATCCACTAAGGCAATAACTCATTTCATCATGACCCGACACGATATGAATTCAAACTCGAAGTTACTGAGAGAGAGAATCGAATATGACCCGATTTAAAATCCACCCAATTTGACCCATTGATTATACTTCGTATTTTGTAATGAACTAATGACATTATGCTTTATACTATTTGGGATAGTTTTTTAGCATGAATAGAATTCTAACCCAAACTCGACCAGTTGACCCGAATCGACAAGTTCCATAAACAATAATAAATAACGTTAAGGCCTTATTTTGTTCACATCATTTTTACTTATTTCAAGTCTCATAAATTCTTATATGGGTATATAAAGGTTATCTAAGTTGAAGTTACAGCTAAAATAAGTTTTAATACAGAATAAGTTTTAATAATTACCAATAAGATCATATTAGTTTAGATGATTGGCAATCAGGTAAATTGAACACATCCTAAGAACATACGAGTATAATAAAAGGAAGTAATAAGTGGCAAAAGATTCACGTTGACACTATTTGTTCAATCTCTTGACATATACAAAGTACTCCCTTCGTTTCATATTAATCGCAACAATTTTCTTTTACATCCGTTTCATATTAATTGCAACACTTCTATATTTAGAAAAGACCCACCATTATTTTATAATATTTCTCTCCCACTAACCTCACTTTCACAAATATTTTATTATTTCTCTTTCCTACCAACCTCACTTATACTACTTTTTTTTATTATTTATCTCTCCTACCAACAATACTTTATTTTATAAAAAATCCTCTTTTGGATCCCACCTTATAAATTTTCTTAAATTTTGTGAACACCCTAGTGTTACAATTAATATAAAATAGAGGAATGACTTAAGTAGAATGTGATAAGAGATGCCTAATTTATCAGGGGTGATATGGCATATTTTAGATTTCAGAAAAGGTTAAGTTTACAAAAATCTTTTGATTCCCTTTTTAATCTATATCACGTTTATAAACTAGGAATTTGTCATGCTACTACACTATTTTTATTTTTGTAAAGCTTGTTGGTAAATGGTCATTGTTTCGGGGTTTTCTGATGTCCTGCGGGAGAGTTACAACACCGAGACTGGAACCGGACGCCTGTACCTGCAAAATAACGGAGACTCCTGGGAGCTCCGCCTCCAACGATCAAGTTAGTACTTGTTTGAGGAGTAATAAGTGCGGAAATTAAAGGGGGAAGATCTGGTTCCTCTAGGGGAGGAGTGATCAGTGTGTTCAGACTTCTCTAGGTGAGAGTAATTAATTGCCGAATCCCCTTTAATGAGGATTAATTAAGTATTTATAGTCTTGAGAAGCGTGCCACTCTCTAGGTTTAGGGTAAACCTAGGCTGACTGGGCCTCTAAACAGGATTGGGCCTTGTTGGCCGGTTTTCCCATTTGGCATGGGTGGACACGTGGCGTGTCTCGATTGGTCCATAGAGGACGTATCTGTGATTGACACGTGGCAGGCTCCTATTGGCCTACGTGAAGGACACGTGGCGGAACCTGGCTGGTCCACTTGTCAGACGGTGATTGGTGGATAAAAATCCCCTAATCATTTGCCCCTCACAGGTGGCACGTGACTGGTCACGTGTCACCTGTGACAGGTGCCGCATGGTGACAGGCGACGGCCTGCTACAGGTGTCACCTTGCAAATGGCCGAGAGATTTTCCCGCCCAAATTTTGAATTTGGAAGCGACCCTTCGCCTTCTCACTTTGCCTATATAAGGAAGTGCTGACTTCGGTCATTTTTCACATTTGAGAACTTTGCGAGAGAACATTCGGACCCCTGAACTTGCTCTGACACTTTGGACTTTTGTTGCCTACCGCCTGCTCTGACAAGCCGTTTGCAAAGGATTTCAGAATTTCATCAGTCGTCACTCGTTCAGGTAACCGTCGGTTCTCTTATTCTTAATTTTTTTCTTATTATTATTTTTTGAAATGGCACCATGGAAGCACACGACACGACCTAAGTTAGTGATCAGCCGGTCACCGGGGACGGCTGAATCTAGGACTAGGAGTGCCGCCTGCCCTTTTCTGGACCCATCTTTGCCCTTTATACAAAGTCCGACTGTATCTGTGTCTATGCAGAACGTGATGGCCAGAACAAAGAAGACTGCTAGGATCTCAAACTCGGACGGATCCTCCCAAAGGGTGCCCATTAGTGAAACATCTGACCAGGCGCCAGATGTAGAAGGGAAACAAGGCGGCTGCCAAGCCGACAGTTCTGAGGGAGGGGTCAAGGTGGTCCCTTCCCATTTTACCGTTGATATGTCCAACTTTTCTCCTGCTCCTTCTAAGGGAGAGGAGGCGGGCCCCTCTGGGAGAGGGGAGGAGTCGTCCTCTTCGGACTCGTCAGAGGACGAGTCCGAGTCCAGCTCTTCTGGCCACGCTTCTCCAGGCTCAGAAGAAATAAACAGCCGCCTACAAGAGGCGAGGCTTTCTCATGCAGTTGAGAAGGGGGGCAATTGGGCGGAGCCGTCCGCCTCTTACAGAGAGGAAAACACCCCCTACTACTGCACGGTACCCCGGGGCCGGATCGCAGCCATGCAAGACAAAGTGGAGAGCTTTATAGCTAACCACAGAATGGGCCCCGGATTTTTACTGTTCGTGCCGGATCCAGAAGACACTGTCGTCTGGCCGGCTGGTACCAGCTATGATGGCGGCTGCTTTGGCTGCTATGAGGCGGCCATCAAAGCTGGACTGCGCTTCCCATTACATCCGGCTGTTCAGCGGATTTTAGATGGGTATGATTTGGGGTTATGGCAGTTAGCCCCCAACTCTTGGGTAAACGTACTCGGCTATGTGGCCGGGTGCGAAATGTACGGGGTGGAGCCAAGCTTTGAGGCTTTCGCCCACATGAACTATCTCAGCCGGACCCCTAAGTCGGGCGGCACCGGCTGGTATCAATTAACAAGCCATAGGGGCTACCTCATGACGAGAGGTAAGGCGAACAAATGGAAGGATTGGCGGAATACCTTCCTTATCATCGAGGGTTCAGACACGGAGCTGAACAAACGCTTTAACAAGTGGAATAGGGATCCGCCTCTTCTCGCAGGCGGCCGCAGCATGCCGCCTGTTCCCCCAAAGGCTAAAAAAGAGATCCTAGACAAAGGACTCTTCAAAGTAGAGACTAGGGTGAACTCTACTTCAGGGGTACGAGAGCAAGTACCCCTAAACTGCGTCCCGAGCTTCAAGTGGCTCTATGACGAGTACTTTTTGGCCGCCTGTGGCCTCAGCAGTCGGTGCTCTAGAGGTAGCCGGCCTGACAAATACTCTGTTTTTTCACGCCTTGTTTACTTGGGATTTTTACTAACTTTGCTGTTTATTTTTTGCAGCTGACGCCATGAGTAAAATAACAGCATCCAAGACTGCGGCGGCCATGTTGCGGGCCTCTCTCATGCAACAGTCTTGTACCGACTCCCCCAACAAGGGGGCACCCTTGGTAGGCCTCGAAACTCTTCCTCTTTTAGGAGTTGTTGTCTTATGCATATACTAACTCTTTTTTTTTTTTTTTTTTCAGTCGGGCACTCCAAGAGCTTCTTCCTCGCAACAGCCGGACCCCAAGGCCCGGAGGACGACTGTTGCAAGCTCTCCTGGGTCTTCCAGGAAAACAGTGGCGGCTGAGAAGCAGCCGGCCACTTCTTCTAAAACTCCGGCGGGGCCGCCTAGAAGTATGGACAATTGTAAAAACTTTTACACTTGCTTCCTTCTTGAGTAGGTCTAAATTGCTTTTTTACGCTTGATGCAGCCGGCCCTCAGGAGCCTGACTTGGTAGAGGTAGCCAAGTCCATGATCAAAGCAGTTCCTCCATCTGAAAGGGAGGCGGTCAGGGGTGTCGGCACCCTTGACCTTGATGGGATTGCAGGGGTCCTTGCTGAGGTATACTTGGCATATTTTTGAGTATTTGAATTCCAGGACGCCTGTTTTCTTTTTGTTTGGAAACTGACGCCTGTTCCCCTTTTTACTTAGGCCCTGCTCCGAGTGAACGGCCTTCGCAAGCCGCTTGACCGGAAGAACAAAGAGGTAAAGGCTGCAAAAGCTATGGCCGCCTCTGACTGTGATAAGGCAATGTTTCAAATTGCCCAAAATGAAGTTCTGACAATTGATATTCTTTATTATCAGGCGCAGGCTGCCGCCGCTCTCCGGGCTCAGTTAGAGGCGGCCCAGAAGAGGAACAGCGAGCTGGAGGCGACCGTCTCCAATCTCAAGGCCGAGCTTAAACCTCTCCGCCAAAAGATACTCTCATACGATGCCATGGAGAAATCCTTGGCTAATGTAAAGGAACGCCTGGTGACCCAGGAGAAGAGTCTAACTAAAGAGCTCTCGGAGAAGGCTGAGCAAGAGAAGAGAGAGCTCGTCCGAGAGATGATTGAAGACTCTTCCCAGATCCAGCGCATGACCTGGAGCCGCCTCTTCCCCAGTGCCGACTTTGCCTCGTGGGAAAAAATGTACCGCCAGTGTTCTGAAATATATAATCAAGAGATCCTGGCGGCTGCTGAGGACGAGGCGTTGGAGGAGGCCTTGGTTGAGGATGAGCAGCCGATAGTGGCGCTTGTGCCACTTGGGGGCAAGGCATCGAAAAAGGATGCAGCTGAAGCCGAGTCCAGCAAGAAGAGTGCTGACCAGGCGGCAGCTGCTAATACTGAACTGCCCCCTTCTTAAGCTTTATGTATTCTTTCCACGGCCTGCGTGCCGTTTGCTTGTATTTACCCGGCCAGAGGGCCGGGGTTTTGAATATTTTATTCTTCTTTAATGCCATTTTTGCTTCAAATTTGTCTAAGTGTTGAATATTTGATATTGAATTGTACACTATATCGACTGTTTTGCATGGCCGATTGTAGACAGGTACGGATGGTCCGCCTATGCCCCTGGACGACTGGTTGTCTGTTTCCAAGCTGGGCGATCAGTCGGCCATTTATTCAATCGGTATTGTTCCCGTTTAAAAGATTGGATTACCTTTAGGCAGGCGGTCCTGTTATTA